CCAACTTGGCTGATTCTATGATTCTATAAAATCTGAAGCAGGAAATACAGGACTGAAGCTTTATGTTGTCATGCATTTCTGTGCGCTACATCTCCTTGATTTCATCAGTATTTCCTCTGCAGAAATAAGGGAATTTAAAATTAGTTTGTATTTACTAGGAGTCATGGATGACTTCTGATTTTAATTCAGGAAGCATTTTTTGCATGACTTCTGGAATTTATTTGTTAGCAATATTTTTTTATGTCACCTTTAGGCTAGGAAGTGCTAACAATAAAGAACCACAGGAAATATTGTGGAGTAATTGTTCAATATATTAAAAGGACATTAAGCTTTGATTTTAACATATAAACTATTTTTCTCTGATTACATTTCAATACTTAAACAATTCAAGAGTGATTTAAATTAAAAAGGCTTTTGTTGAGTGTCAGAACAGAGCAGAACATGCTGATAGGGTTTTACAGCAGTCTAGAAGAGTGTTTGCAGTATAATTTTTGTAAAACTGTGGCAGTGTGACATCTGCTGATCTCAGTAAGACAAATGGTATTGCTCTTTACCTTCCAGAAATGCCAACAAATATAAGTTTGTGAAACTAACTTTTTTTAAGGTTTCAGGATAAAGTATCTCAAGCTTCATTTAATATCCCTGTTTTTTAAAGATCAGAGGGACATTGGCTAATTAGCTGTGGAATTTAATTAGAGCTTATTTTAACTTGCTTTTCTAGAGCTTCTTGTAGCGAAGAGGAAAAGGGGCAGACCAAGAGGGTCTACTAAGAAGTTTTGTGTGGATGAAGATGTGGCAGAAAATAACCCTGTTCCAAGTGAAGAAACTCTGCCTGGAACAGAAGAAAGCTCAGAACTGCCTGAAATCTCACCAGGCAGCTTGGAGTGCAGGAAATGCAATCGGAAGTTCTCCAACACACGTCAGCTGACGAAACATATCTGCATTATTGTTTTAAATGAAGGAGAGGAAGAAGGAGATGGAGGTAAGAAAATATCCAACAAATATTTGAAGCATGTTGTGGGACACTGACTCCATCCTGTGACCTGATTGGTAACAACTGGTAATCCCCTTGTCTATCATGCTCCAGCACCTCAATGTCTGTCTTGTTCTTGGGCCTGTCATGACCCACCTGTAGGAGTGATGTTCATTATCAGTTCTTGTCAGGCTGAACAAAGACACAGGACCACATGTCAGGGAACTTTAGGTTTTATTGTACAGTTTCCATAACTTCAGCAACCGACCCAATATCTAGAACCAGTATGTGTCAGCAAATAAGCTCTTATATTTATACAAGACTTCCACAAGAGTGGAAGGTAACAAGCCCTTAATTTGTACAGTACAGTGCAGTAACTTCTCAGTTCTCAGAATAAACCTCTTCAAGGTGCAGGCTCACAAGCCACAGCACACCAGTATTCAAAGGTCCTGCACACCACTTTTCACAATCTCCCCACTCCCACAACAAACTCCAGTGAAGAGCAGGGGGTAAAGTATGATAGCTGTGCTTTGCCCAAGCAAAGCACAGGGAGATATAAAGGCAGAAGAGGTGCTGTACCTGTGTCAGGGCAATCTGTGGTATCAATACAGGCTGAGGGATGAACAGATTGAGAACAGCCCTGCTATGAAGGACTTGGGAGCGCTGGTGGATGAGAGGCTGGACTTGACCTGACAGTGCATGCTTGCAGCCCAGAAATCCAACCATGTCTGGGCTGCATCAAAAGCAGCATGGACAGCAGGGTGAGGGAGGTAATTCTGTCCCTCTGTTCTTCTCTGGTGAGACCTCATCTGGAATACTGCATCCATCTCTGAAGGGGCCCCAGTGTGGGGTCCCCAACACAGGAAGGACATCAACCTGTTGGAATGAGTCCAGAGGAGACCACCAAGATTAGAGGGGTGGAGCACCTCTCCTATGAGGAAAGGCTGAGAGAATGGGGATTATTCAGCAGGGAAAAGAGAAGGCTTTGAGGTGACCTAATTGAAGTCTTCCAGTACCTGAAGGGAGCGTGCAAGAAAGATGGAGAGTGAATTTTTACAAGGGCATGTAGGAATAGGAAAAGGGGAAATGGCTTAAAACTGAAAGAAAGTGGGTTTAGATTAGATATTAGAAGAAATTTCTTTACTGTGAGAGTGCTGAGGCACTGGACAAATTGCCTAGAGAAACTGTGGCTGCCCCATCCCTGGAAGTGTTCAAGGCCAGGTTAGATGGGGCTTTGAACAACCAGGACTAGTGGAAGGTGTCCCTGCCTGTTGTGGGAGAGTTGGAACTGAATGGTCTTGAAGGTCACTTCCAACCTAAACCAGTCTATGATTCTGTGATGCAGCAGTGATGGTGTTGCTGTTTTTCACATTTGAAACACAGTAGCTCAGAGTAAATTGCTAAAAATCACAAGGAGCTTTGGCTGCAGGTTTTTCTTGCTTAGTCTTTGACGTTTTACCTAATATATACAGGTTGGGGTTTTTTTTCCCTTTTCCCTTTCCATGTCTTTCCAACTTGAAATTACTTTCTCTTTTTCTCATGCTTCTGAGTTTTTCTATAGGATTGTTTGTTTGGGTTTTTCTACTACTTTCCTCCTGTTTTTCATTTCTTGCAAAGCTCAGTATTGTATGGACATCTGATTAATGATCAGTATGTTTTCATTTTGCACTGTGGCTGCAATGTAGTTTATTTTCTTTTTAGCAGCTCATATTATGCAGTGTTTTATATTTGTGACCAAAATAATGTTTCAGCTCTTGCTAAAATATGCTAAACATAAATATTGAAAAAATATCGGGGAGTTTGGGACTAGATGATCTTTAAGGTCCATTCCAACCCCTAAAATTCTATGATTCTATGATCTATATGATATATATTGATAATCTGTGTGATATTCTTTATTGAGAGAAACATTATATGTGTTTTCAACTGAAGCTCAAATATTCATGAAGGCTTCCAATTAATAAAATGTTTTACTGCCTTTTATAGGTCAATGAGGAAAGTGTTAATCCCCAGCAAAGTGGACATTTAAAATAAAAATTAAGAAATCACTATAAAACTGTATAGAAACTGCAGTATGTGTTGGTCAGCAGAAATAACTGGTTGATGCAACAAGCCTCTGCTGTTCTTTGCTTCAGTGATTAGTGATCCACATTGACCTCTCAGAGATCAGTGTCTCCTTGATAGTTCTCCCACTTTTTCAGGAGTCACCAGGCCTTACTGGTTACTGACATCCTCTGTGCACATGATCTGACCCTTTGAGGTAAAATTGCCTTCACCTTGTGGGCCCATTCACTAAAACAGAAAAAAAATAAAAGTGACTTAATTTTTTTGCAGATGTGTTGGGTTGACCCTGACTAGACTCCAGGTGTCCACGAAAGCTTCTCTGTCACTACTCTCCTCAGCTGGACAGGGGAGAGAAAATATAATGAAAGACTCACAGGGAAAGGTCACTTATCAGTTACCATCACAGGCAAAACAGTCACAACCTGGGGAAATTAGTTGATTACCAATCAAATCAGAGCAGGATAATTAGAGATAAAACCAATTCTTAAAACACCTTCACCACACCCCTCACTTCTTCCCAGGCTCAATTTTGCTCCCAGATTCTCTACCTCCTCCCTGCCAGTGGTGCAGGGAGATGGGGAATGGATGTTGTGCTCAGTCCATCATACATTGTCTATACCACTCCTTCCTCTTCAGGGGCAGGACTCCTCACACTCCTGCCCTGCTCCAGTATGGGGTCCTCTCTCCACAGGAGCTAGTCTTTCATGCATGGCTCCAGTGTGAGTCCCTCGTGGGGTCACAAGTCCTGCTCCAGCCTGGGCTCCTCTCCACAGGGCCACAAGTCCTGCCAGGAGCCTGCTCCAGTAGGGGCATCCCACAGGGTCACAGGCTCCTTTGGGCATCATGTGGGATCCTCCAGGGGCTGCAGTGACACAGCCTGTCTCACCATGGGCTGCACCATGAACTGCAGGGAAATCTCTGCTCCAGCACCTGGAGCACCTCCTCCCCCTCCTTCCCTGCAGAGTTGTCTCTCTCACATTTTCTCACTCTTCTCTCAAGGGGCAGTTGCACAGTTGGTAATTTTCCCCCGTCTTAAACACATTATGCCAGAGGCATTGCCATCATCACTGATGGGCTCAGCCTTGGCCAGTGGTGAGTCTGTCTTGGAGACAGCTGATTTTTGCTCTGTTGGATGTAGGGGAAGTTTCTGGCACCCTGTAGCCTCCCTGCCATCACAACCTTGGCCACACGAACCCAATACAGCATGGTATTAAAAAATGTCCATTGTACCTGCAAGTCCCCCATGTACTACTTAGTAAATGTATTTTTTCCTAGAGGGCTCATTTGCCTGAGCAAGTTGCTGTGTTGTAAGCCAAGTTATGTGTACACCTATTTCTGTTTCTTTTTGATTAAACCAAGTTAACAGTTCTGGCTAATGATTTGGATCTGCCTAGTGGTAGTGCTACCCAGTTGTTTCATCCTAAGACAAAACTAGAAGAGTTGAGATTCTTCTTGAACAGCCAGATGTCTTCACTGTGTCTGCTTCCAGCCAGGGAACAGAGCTGCTTCAGCCTCCAGTGCCAGGATGGGATGGGTTTGGAGATTTTGGCTGTTGCTGGATGGGCACAGTTCCCCAGCAGCTGTCTCTAGGCTTGCTTGTTTTGAGAGGTAGACAACAGGTAATTCTTTTAACTACCATCCTTCTCCCACACTGCAGCATACCTGAATCTCTGGCAAGATAAAAGAGAGGACTTGTAATATCTGGGGAATGAATGGGATTTGGGTGGAAAATGGATTGCAGCAGTGTACAGAATCTCTTCTCTGGAGTGAACCATTCATTCCTACTGAATTAGGAGCCTCCATAATTCTTAAAGATGTCACTTTTGGCCTTAGTTTGAAATGTTTTTGCCATCAGCTGAATTCTAATTTAAATGGATTCATCCTGCGAGTAGTATGTCATTTTCTGCAGGAGGAAAAATTGCCTGCATTAATTTTAAATGGCCAGTTCAGGGTTTTTTTTCCCAAGCTGTTCCCTTGCCACTATGAAATATCAGCATTTTTTAGGGGATAAAAAATAGTGATTTGAATGAAGAGCACTTTAAAAACATGCCAATTAGGGATGTGTAGCTGTGCCTGCGAAATGTCTCACATCCAATTACACGTGCAGAGAGCAGTCCCTTCAGTTAATGGCTCCAGCAGAATCATGGGACAGATGAACAATCCAGTTCGAGGGGACTCTGAAAGCAATTCAGAGTTGACAGTAGCTTTACTGATCAACAGAGACATGGCCATTTCCTAAGCCTGTTAGAAGGCAGAGGCACAGGGCTGTGTTTCTTGCACAAACATACCAGGCACTAGAAATGCCTGTCCCTGGGCAGGGGAGGTCACTCTCTCCATCTGTTGGATCCAGGTGTCAGCTGACAGAGTGCTAAGCTGACTGCTTAGCAAGGGAGATACAAAGTGAGACAGCTTGTCTAAACAAACCTGTTTGGGAGCAAGCAAAGACCCTTACTGCTGGGAGAAACTTGGCTTAGCTGTTCAAGTGGCATGTACTCCATTTTCTCATAAATCATCTTAAAATCACTTATGAGTGTTCCTTTATACACCCATTGTTGTATTATAAAGGGGAATTGTCCTTGTTGTGAGGGACAAGACACTTACTTTGACACTCTAATCCACAGTGCTAACACTGAAGGAATTTTTTTCAGGAAGAGAACTGAATAGTGATGAGATGGCCCCGTGTTCTCAAAAGGCCATTTGAGCCCTCTGGTCAAAGTTGAAGCCCTTGTTTTTCACTAAAAGATACTTTTGTCTCCCTCTTAATCCTTTCCTAAATCACACTTTCCAGGTCAGGTGTTTTTTGGTATAGAGAGAGTTCAGGAACAAAGCAGCTGTCATTGAGAGTTCAGATTTTTGTTGACTTGGTTATTTGATGGGCAGTGTTGGTTTGGGGGATTTTTAAGTCTCTTTCAGGTTACACATAGACTACAAAATAGTTATGTTTGTAGCAAAAAGCACTGGCAATGTGTGCAGCCCCAGCTCCTTACCAACAAATTGTTTCTGAAAGATGTTTGTTCCTCTCAGAAAGGGGAAGAATGGGGCTACTGCTATCAGCATGCCTCAGATTACTGAATAAATTTTAATATTTAAGTATCAGAGCTCCACCACTCTATAGAGAGAGATGATTTTTTTGTTGTCCTGTATCATGTGAGGGTGAGAATTTGTTCATACAAATATTCAGCACTAGTTGAAGGTGTATCATCAGCAAATCAGTTGAATTTTCTCACTTGCATATTTTTCACCAGTGTATGTGTGAGCTTTTTTTGTGGTAACTGAACTTGCATAGGACTCAGTACCTCTCTCACACCTTAGCACATACTGAATATAGTCCTCCTGTTAGGTGCTGGGTGTTCTCAGCTCATACTGAGAACATGGAAGTTGAGATTGTCCTTTGTTTGAGGTACTCACCAGCTTTGCATTTCTTAGGAAAATATTTTCACATGGCCATAAACTTAATTTTTAGTGCTTAGCATACACGTACAAGGATTCTATGCATATGAAACAGCAACATTTTAACGAATAAATATTTTTATATTGCAGTTCTGTATGATATTTGTAAGACTTTTTAAACAGCATTTTTGGAGTTCTGTTTGAAAGTGAGAAGACATTGTCAGCTATATTTATTGTAACATGTTTATTCTACAGCTCTTACCCTTGGTCAGACTGAAAGAAGCAGCAAACTGATCTGCCTGACACATTAGGAAAGAAAAGCAGTATGAAACATTTGTTAGCTTGTTGCTGTGGTCATAGTTATTCACTAGTGTGGATCACAAACAAACTCAAGTCTGTGGCTTGTCCTTTTTTTTTTTTGTAGAATTCCAGTATTCAAAAGTTAAGAGTTACAGGTTAACATGAAAAGGCAATAAATGGTTTTGTCATTTGGTTTCAACCAGTTTATTTCCTTGTATTGTAACTCTTTTTAATGGTTAGAAGAAGGATTTAGGAGTAGGGTGCTGGAATTTTGTTCATGGGACTACAAAGTATTACATGATCCCAAGCAAAGTTTAGAAAATTGTTGTCCTCATCACAGTTTTCATTCCAGTCTATAGTTCTGGATTTCTGTTAGCTAAACCATGTTTTGTCCCCAAGTATATAAAATCTTTTTTTCCTTTTCAGCCCTTAATGCCATCACTGACTCTTTGTCCACTGAACAAAAGCAGAGTAATTAACCCAATTAATTTTTGTGTTTGTTGTTTAACAGTATGTGAAGTAGCCTTAGGGAAACAATTCAATAAGCAGCTTAGATTTTTTTGTCTGGTCTGATTCTTTATGAGAAGAGTTTCTTCTGTTGGTAGCCAGGATGATAATAAACTAGCAGAGACTGTTTCATGAAGAAAATGTGAAAAAGTGTGTTTGTTTCATAGAATCATTAAGGTTGGGAAAGACCTCTACAATACCATTTCCTCTCACCCCTGTTCATCACATCAAAAGAAACCACTGCACAAGCAATTTCTGGTCGAAGGGGATTTTTCATTATATTCAAATATCCCTTTCAACTATTGCAGAGAAACGTCAGTGTTAGAATTACGTGATCTCAGTAGCCATGAATAATTTACAACTATATTAAGGAATTAAATAGGGACATTATGAGACTCGTTATTCCTATAAAGCAGCAATATTTTCCAAAATCATAGCAGTCCACAGAGGAAAAGGTAGCTGAGAAGAGGCATTTATCAAAGAATTTATCTAATGAAATTGAAGAAGTCATTAGCAGGCACTGAAAAGTTGGGGACTCTCCAGGCAGGGCTTAAATTTCTAGAAGCTGGGGCAAAAGCACTGCTAACACAACTCATAGAAGCATGGCTGGGTGATTGGGTTTGAATTCAGTTTGCTCTGTGGTTGTTCCTCATTCTGGGCATTGTCAATATGAATTTCAGAATTACACCTTAGTGTCAGGTCAGTACCAGTTCTCAGTATACACATTTCTGCCTCAGTACACCTGAGAAAGCTAAACTTGTTCCTGCAGACCCTGTGTTCTTCTGGCTTTGTGTGTCGTATAGAGCTTGCAGTGTATCCAGGCAGTAGTTACCTGGTCAGCCCTACCTATGCTGCTGTAGTTCCTGCTTTGAGTCCTTCATTTTTGTAGGGAACAGACAGCACGTTTAACCCTTTGTTCCACTAAGGTAAGACCACAGGGACAGACTTGTTTGACTCTCAGTTGAATATAAACAAAATATCACTGAAACGAAAACAGCCACTGAGTGCAGCATCTCTTTTCACTGCTTCTGCTGTTTGCATGTCAGAAACAAGCCTGGACACACTACAGCTTTGCTCTTACTGGTTTTTATTTATATTTTTCCCTATCTCAGCAGAGCAGCTATAGCACATTATGAATATACATGGAATGACTTACTCTGGAGATTGAGTCAATAGATTTAGATTCAGGGGGAAAAGAAAAGAAATTCACTGGGTTTATTTATAATTTTCTTCCATCAGTTTCTGCTTTCTTTATTCATTGCCTCTGCAACATTTATGTAATACCTTAATTTGCCAACTTTGTTTTCCCTAGCCTAGTGTTTCCCTAGTGTATTTTCTACCACTTTATGTAACATAAGAAATTTTATTGGTGAGAACTTACAGTTGTCTGGTTTTTATCTTTATGCTGCTAATTATTTATATATAAGCAGTTTCATTTTATTTTCTTTTTTTTTTTTTTGAGAATTTCAGTAAGGAATTCCTCATTTGCTTTAAGGAAGCAATAGCTTCAAGGAATAACTCAGCTGATTACTGGTTATTCATTCTTATTTCAGATGAATGTTTTGTGTGCAACTGTTGTATGGCTTTCTAGTTAACAGCTCCAAAACTTAACTGATTTAAGAGGCTGAAGACATTCTGAACAGCAACAGAAAATAATTTGGAATGCAGGCCTTGGAAAGGAGTTACACATCAGGATTTAATGTGAACCTAAGAACTCTTTTGTACCCTGATTCTTCTTGAATCAACACTAAAAACAAAATTATGTTTCTAGCTGTTGATTCACAATAACGGGGGAAAATGGCCTAATCCACAGTCAGAAGACTTTGCATTAAATAATCCAATACTAGGAGAAATAATGCTCAAGTCTTTAGAACAATAATTTAGAAACGGATGTTTCTGCGACACTGTTTTTTAAATTTTAGGGGTTTTTCTCTCTTTTCTTTCTCTGCGACACTGTTTTTTAAATTTTAGGATTTTTTCTCTCTTTTCTTTGTTTGTGTAAGTAGCACACTAGTTTGATTAAATAGGTAGAAAAAAGTGCCCCTTTAGGGATCACATCTTGGTTTTGGTAATGTCTGTCTTTCTACAACAGCATTAATTTTCTTCCCATTCTTTCCTATTGTGTTAGTGACTGTGTTGCCTTTGTACATAGTTACATTCTTTTTGATGTTTGCTCTTTAGGTAATGATTCTGACGTTGACCTTGACAGGAAGGAAGATGAGCGAGAAAAAACTCCAAGGAGGTCCAGAATTCAGAAAGCAGAGAAAACCTCAACTAAGGACACTGATCAGGTTTCAGGAGCAAAAAATCCTATTATAAGTGTGGTTTTGACAGCCCATGAAGCTATTCCAGGTAATCAGTCACTAATTCTATAATAAAAAAAATTTTTTAACCATGTTCACACATTCACATAAAATAGTCATTGGTCTAAGATCAAGCTGCTTAAGACATTTATTATATGAAAATTATTTAGTATTATTTGATTATCTTGATACAGAGTCTCTGCATCTGGCCACTGCATAATTTTAGAACTTCAGTCACATTTCTTCAAAGCTATGACAGATGCTGGACCTGGCAGCATTTATCTGCATTAATATCAGTTCTGTTTCATCTGTGAATAATTTTGAAGAAGAATATGATAAAACATTAACCAAAGAACCAAAGAAAGTATTTTTCTTCTGTATTATCTCTATTATGGCTTTCGATTTGTGTGTATATTTATGATGGATATAAATTTGTTCATGAAAACACAAACAGCTTAATATGCACCTATATAACTAATATTTATTGCATACAAATAGACAGAAAAGATGTATATATGTTTGAAAATCAAGTTCTACATAATGGTTAAATGTTTCAAGCTATTTATTTTAAAACTAGCCTTGCATTTCCCTGTTTATATAAACCATTAGCTGACCTGACTGTCAGAATCCCTTTTTAATAGTTTTGTGCATTATTTTCAGCTTTGTAGCTTTGTTGTTCTCCTTTTTGTTGTTGTTGATTTCTGAGTATTTGTTCTGCTTCTAACTGTCAGAAGAGTCTTTATTTCTTTTCTTGTTGTGACTTGAAAGCTAGCTGGATTTTCTGTGTTTATTATCTTTTGATATTGAGATCTGTGGTAAGTTGGGAGTTTGTTTGCCAAAATGCATTTCTAATTGTGATGGTCAAGGAGGCTGGATGAGCTCACCTACGAATATCCTGTGTGCTTAGAAAGGAAGTAAAAAACACCTTCGTATTCATTGTTTGGGAAACAAACACAGAATTTTAGATTTACACTGAGCCATTAAAAATTTGGTCTGGCATTATTGTAAACATAGAGGAAGGTGGAAGAGCACTGGTGAGCACTGGAAGTGTGAAAACCTGGTTTGAGGTTAATGTCTGTCCTGCTTCATTTCACTAAGCACAGTTCTCCTGTCTGATGTAACCCTGGGCTCTTTCCTTGCTATTGTGAAACATTCATTTTCCCACTGTGACTCCCCTTCTTGCCTCTTTCTCGCTGCATCTGGATTTTCCCTCCGTCCTGCTGCACATTCCCCTCCCAGCCATACATGGTGCTCCCCTCATTTCCTCTGCTCCTTCATCTGAGCAAAGGGGAACATGAGGTGGCTGGTTAAGTAAAATCTTTCTTGGAACATCAAAAATTTTGGGTCTTCTTTGCACGTGCCTTTTCAGTAGCTCAAAATATTTAAACAGCTTCAACTCTGGAGCTACTTGTGCATAGCTGGTTAAGTAAAATCTTTCTTGGAACGTCAAAAATTTTGGGTCTTCTTTGCACATGCCTTTTCAGTAACTCAGAATATTAAAACAGCTTCAACTTTGGAGCTACTTGTGCATGGTACATGATACATTCAGAAGGCTTTAATGAATCAAAAGGATTTATGGTCAGGTGTGAACCTGCAGCAGTTTATTGGATTGACAATTAATAATTTTACTACATTTAAGTTCCCAGCTAAAATACGTGTAATAAAAAAGTAATTGTTAAGACAGTTATGAATTGTCACCCAACTTCTCAGAATCTGAAAATTCTAGAAGATACTATATAAGTGGTTAACTCTTTGAAAATTCAAAATTCAAATATTTCATTGAATAAGATTATATTTTAATATATTTTTCATTAATTTTCCTTCTTGTTTTTTTTTCTTTCATTAATTTCCGTGATCTAATTATATCTTAATGTCACTAGTAATTCTTAGACTGTTCTCCTTTCTCAGTAATAGTAATACTTTAATATCTGGACTTTTTAATAGAGATCTTTCATAGTCTTTTATTCCATTTTTCTGGAGATTCATCATGTGCTGAAGAGAAGAGCTACTGCTATAGTCTGCTTTTGAAGAATATAAATAGATAAAACCATTCTCCCTTCTCCCCTGCTTTGTGTGCAAGGCCGTCTGTAAAGTTAAGTTGAAAAAATAAGTTTAAAGGTGCTTAAGCACTATCTAAACTTAGTCATCTCTCTGCAAGTATTGATCTGTAGCCACCTGTCACCTAGCTTAAAAGATGTTTGGAAATATCCCTTTTTTGTGTCCAGTGCAGTAAAATCCTGTTGAAGATTTCAGGTGGCAATTGCAAAAATAGAGAAGACCTTAAGAACTGGTTGTATTTTATTCTCAGTATGAAGCAACTGCTCAGACTGTATGTCTCCCTTCTTAAATGAAAGATTCTTTTGGAAGTATTGCATTAACATTTTGCTGTAATTTTGCTATGCACTATTTAGGTTTGGGATACTGCTTTACATCCTATGTTTAGTAGATGATGACTAAATTGATCTCTTCAAAATCCCTTCAAGCAAGCAGATCAGTTAGTTTCTAACTTCACAGAAAGGACAGTTGGGCAACATTGATTTTCTGCAGTGTTCCTCTTCTGTAGGGTTTTCTTGGAAGGCATATGAAAGGTAATAGATTTACAGCTGTAGAAATTTAAAAGTTTGCATTAACCCACTGCGTAAATACAGTTTGAATAAAAGTTGTAGATTTTTTTTTCTGTGCAGACACTGAAGTCCCTTCACAGGCTTGAGAATTGGGCCTGTGCTGACCTCATGCATTCAAGGGCAAGTCAAATGTCTTGCACCTGGGCTGGGGTAATCCCAAATATGGATACAGGCTGTGCAATGTATGGATCAAGAGCAGCCCAGCCGAGAAGGACTTGGAGGTGCAGGTGAATGAGAGGCTGGACATGACCCAGCAATGTGCACTTGCAGCCCAGAAGGCCAAGCATGTCCTGGGCTGCATCCAAAGCAGCGTGGCCAGCAAGTCAAGAGGGGATTCTGCTCCTCTGCTCTGCTCTGGTGAGACCACACCTGGAGTTCTGCATCCAGCTCTGGGCTCCCCACCAGAAGAAGGATGTAGACCTGTTGGAGGCCAAAAAGCTGGTCAGAGAACTGAACTGCTTTGGAGGCAGTCTGAGAGCTGTGGTTGTTCAGCCTGGCAAAGTGAAGGGTCTGTTGAGATCTTCAAACAGCCTTCCAGTGCCAAAGGGGACCTGCAGCAAAGGTGGAGAGAGACACTTTACAAGGGCGTGCAGTGATAGGGCAAAGGGGAATCGCTTTAAACTGAATGGGAGCAGGTTTAGATTAGATATCAGAAAGAATTTCTTTCCTATGAGGGTGGTGAGGCACTGGAACAGGTTGCCCAGAGAAGCTGTGAATGCCCCATCCCTGGGAGCATTGAAGGCCAGTTTGGATGGGGCTTTGAGCAGACTGGTATAGTGGAAGGACACCTGCCCGTGGCAGGGGGGTGGAACTTAGATGGTCTTTAATGTTCCTCCCAACCCAACCTATTCTATGATTTTATAACTGGGGGGGCCTGAACACCCTGAAGAGAAGGAGTGCTGTGTTCATGAGCACATGCAGCTGGTGTTAGATCAGGCACAGTACAGTTTTTATAAGCATCACAATTAAGAAAGAGTGAATAGCCACAATTATATGCACGTGTGAAAATAATTTCTTTTAAGTGGCAGATACTTTTTTCATAATCTGTTTCTAAGAACCAATGAGTAAATTCAGCCAAATACTCAATCTTCTGGTTTTTTGTCTATTTTATGCCCATGTTTAAATTTTGTAAATTGTCAAGGCTCCTAAACCCAATATATTACTCATGCTCCATTAGTTTGATTCAGGAGAGATTTGACCATTTAATTAAATTGTTGTTTTGTGCAAATCCTGTAATATTTGAAAGGCTCAGCCTGTTACTAGGAGAGTTGTTTTCAGTTTATGTGAGAGTGGTCAGTTGTAGAATTTTTTAGTTTTTTGGTAGAGCTCAAGAAATGCAAAAATAGCATGAAGTATTCAATTTTCTTGATGATAGTTATTTTTTGTTTTCTAAAGGATTTGGATTTTCTTTCTCCTACAAATTCATAATACAACACTGTGCGGGTTTTTCTGTCCCTGATTGCCACTGAGGAACCACTGTCTGTAAAAGGCCAGCTGTGATTTCCTACTACTATACCCTTTGCTGTCATTTGTGAATACTTAGTTCCTTCTCCCATCAAGATTTTTGGGCAGTGGGGTAGAAGTGGAAGAACGTTGTTTTGCTTACCATTTTGGGACTGACTTAGTTTAACTGATGATAGTCTTTTCTCCTTGACTGGTAAGTCTTTTCTGTTTAAGACCATTTTTTTTCTGTAGCTCTTGGAACAGTAGTTGTAGGTTTATGACACATCTGAGTGGATTTAATATTAGACAAATTTAGCCTTTTGGAGGAAAGGAGGAGGATTGGGACTACTACCCCTTTTGAAAGTAGCTGGGTCAGTAAGTGCAGACTGCTGTCACAGGCAGGTGAAGTCCTCCAGCCTCAGCTTCCTGTCCTTTGGATCATTGTGCCTATTGATGCGGTTTTGTGGAAGAACATACCAGAAAATTAATAATGTATTTGCAGAAAGAGAGACATGGTGTGGATTTTAGCCATATCCCATCTCTAATTCTCTTCATCTTTGTGAATTCCTGGCACTTTTGAGACATCATCAACATGTAGTTCAGTGAAGGACTAGAGAAAAGAAGCTGACTGTATGCTGATTTAAAGCAGACATGGAATTAAGCAAGGTTAGGAAAATTAAAGCTTCCCTGGTGTTTATGTTATCATGAGGTTACAGATTGATTTTGCTCGGCCAGCCTAAAGTCCAGCTCTGTTATTAATTTTTCTATTAATTTGTATAAATCCCATCTTCAATGCTTCTTTATTTTCAGTCTCTTATGACAGTGTGGAGTAATTATTGCCTAATTTAATTACACACAGACTGAAACTGCACATTCTTTTGTTTGGTTTTCAGCCTGCTGACTGCTTATTGAGCTGGTCCTTGTGGTT